AAACAACTTTTTCATACTCCCTTGTCATGTGACTTCACATGTGCGCAAAGGCGACAGCTGCACGGTCACTGAAAGCCCCTAGTTCACTTGGGGGTAAGAGAAAGTTTCACTTCTTAACAATGAACTTTCACATTATCAACTGTAAGAGGCTTGAATATTTTTTGTCAGGAAAGGAAAGAAAATCATCTTCTGTGACAAGCCAAGTTTAAAACAGCATATTAGCAAAACAACTGGTTGAACACCAGCATAGATTTAGGAGTCAGGGTAGTAATGTGTTGTCTGGGAAATAAATCAGAGTTGCAGATTTTTTCTGTAACTTTTAAAAATGTTGGGAGGAGTTTCTGGAAAGATCCCTTGATGTTTAATAAATAAACTGATAAAAGGGTCTACCTGGAATGCATACATGCGCTCTTGCGGGGTGTTGGGCTCTGGCTGGACCGTTTCTACACACTTGATCTTCTCAAGGTCCACTGATCCTCTCAGACCTTTTCGCTTCTGCTTAAAAGATGAGGAAACAGTCAGGGAATAACCAACACATGCAGCTGCAAAGTTCTCTGTTTGCAAACTTGAGTCCGGCACAAATGCAATGCTTTGTCATTTATTGGTGTAAGCAGTTCTATACATACCCCTTTTTCTGGATCAAAATCATAATAGGCTATCTTTTCCTGGGTGAGAACAAACAATCTCTCCTTGTAATTCAGAGGTGAGGTCTTTTTCTTCTGCTGAGATCGTTTAATGAAGATTTCCTCCATTATACTGTCCGACATGATTCAGTCAGGATTAGTCTACAAGAGATACAAGAGATAAGGACAATGGTTAAGACTTATTTTAAAGCATTATGGACGCCTAACACGCAACTCTTTACTTTGCAGCAGAAAAACAGTGAACATTCACACCTCAGCTCGCATGGTGATCATTTTGCTGAGAGCTGTGACTGACTCATCCACTATCACTCTGCTTACCTTAACAAAACTAGGGCCCTCTTTGGCATTATTTAACACTTTACAGCTATTCACTTTGCATTTCACATGAGAAGAGTATTCAGTAAGTTGACATGTACTGACCACTCTCCATATGGTCAAAGCAATGCCACTAAAACTGGTAAGAGTAGAGATGTGGACAGAGATGAAGAGCCATGAGAGATTGCACGTATCAGTGTTAGATTAGCTGTAGTTTGCATAAGCCTGCTTTTACTGCCAGCAACATGCTCCGTTTCCCAAATCCCCTGCCGGATCACAATTGCTCAGAGGCCCCTATACATTTGTGATAAGAAGCTGGGAAAAGATATCAGATGAGTGTATCTACCAAATCCCCCGTCTAGTATGTATTCCTAATGCCATTGGTCGGAGGTGTTTTTCCAGGTGTTCTCCCTGTCTTGGATTGTTTTGACATCAGAAGTCGGATCAGATAAAACATTGTGTTTTGCATCCTTATGTCACATTTATGCATATTTGTTTGACAGGATGCCGGGGCAACTTTGCTAGCTCACTACGCAGGTTCTAAAATACACACATCATTACTTTTTTTAAAGCTGGTTGTCAAAGGATTTTCACACATTTCATGCTTATTTAACACATTAAAATGTGTGTTGTTTGAACCAAAGAAAGGTGGACACACAATCAGCAATAAAGCAGTAAAAAAAATAAAAATTATTACAGTAAAATCTGACTTAATGGGATAAATAAATAGATATATATAGTTTTCAAGAGCAGTAGATAAGTGAACATATAACAGCTTTCCCACAACCTACCCTTACTATGACCATACGTTCATACAGCACTTACTGTTGAATAAAATACTCAGAATACATCATTTCTATGTTTTTGGTAAAACAGAAACCTATTGAAGTGTGTTTACTTCCAAGCCTAAAAATCTCACCATAATCTCACACATGCACTCACACACAGAAGAACATTTAACCTGCTTTAGAAGATAAGAAGGCGAACAAAAAAGGTTGTCTCTCTATAGTTCACAACTTTTATTGTGTCTGGTTTTCAACACCTACCAACCGCTAGTTCTAAAATGAAACTTGCACCTCAAAGTCAAGTCAAAGCTCCTATGCTGCTACCATAAGTAGATGAGAGTGTAGTGGGACAAAGAAGCACTGATGTTTTTTAGGGGATAAGGAAAGAGACGCGAACATTATGGGGGAGGAATCACTTTGCAGTATGGATAAAAAATAACTGGCAGTCAGAGGAAAATCAACTTGTATACCGATGAATTTTAAAAAGGGAAGTAGATTTGACACCAATTTAATGTCAATAGACCTGTGACAGGTCCGTGTTTGTGCTTTTCACCTACATAGAAATTAAGATCAGGTGAAGCTGCAACTGCAAAGTGCAAATCCACGACTCACCAGAACGCTCAATGCATTTTAGATATCTCACAAAACCCTTTTATTCTCAAACACAACTAACCTACAAAGGGCACTAAAGTTAAAAAGAACGTATTATTGTGAAGTGAAACACGAAGTCTGAGATGCTCATACTCGCCTCTTCTCACAGCTGAGTGCTCATTGTCTGATAGTGTGTGTCCAAATGTGTTTGCACTTGAGCTCAGCCTATTTTCAGCCTGAGAGTACTTCCTTCTATCATCTGAACTGTTACTGTAACACTAGAAGCTTCTGTTAACTTTCTGCTGTTAACCAGGAGTGTGACATTTCTTCACACCAGACGGATAATACCTCATTGTTCCCTAATCGACTAAACGTTGTTTATTCATTCCTCATCTGTCACCACTTTAGATTTTCTCACATCACAAACTCTGCAGCCAATAGAAACTCACATGTACAAACTATTCTCTCTTCTTCTCTGATTGTTGGAGCTAGTTGACCGAAACTGTATGCCAATATTTCACTGATGTATCATGGCGACAAAATGTCGATTTTTGTGTCTTTTTGTGAAGGGAGTTGACTCACGGTGGCTGACACAGACAAACTCAGAGGGAAGTTGCATCAGTGTTGTACTGCAATATGAAGAGAGAAGAAACTCAGTACCCTGCACCTCTTCAACATGACTTTATCTCCCCTTTAAATGTTAATATCTGTCTTTAGCACTTTAAAATGTTGGTTAACTACTATGAGGTATTTTTTACTTGATCACTTACATGCATATAACTATAACAGAGTCTCACATTTATTTTTAGATTTGGCAGAGTTCCCCTCTGCTCAGCACAGCAAAACAAAATGTTTAACACTTTGCAGGAATGTATTTTTTCTCTCTCACTCTCTACTTTATATTTGTGGTATCTTGTCTGATCTCAACTTTAACCATAGCTACTTGCTTGACTCTATCTGTTGTGAAAAAAAGGCTCAAAAGTTTTTTTTTTTTTTTTTTACAAAATGCAGTTTTTACTTAACAAAAGCGACTTTTTCAGCATCTCAAACTTTAAGCAAAGCTTAAGTGGATCTTTCAAACCCCCTTTTTATGTTGCAGCAAAATGTTATCACAAGATATTTAAAAGTGATTTCATAATATCTGACTGTGATGGCTTTCTGAATAATGGGCAACAGATCATTACGTTTAGTCATTTACATCGAGCTTCATCCAGGACCGTACAGTATGCGTGTTTTGACTAGAAGTTCCAAAATGTAAACATTATAAACTGTTAATTAAAATGCATAATGGTGGTGTGGCCCCAAACAGCTGAGCTCTTGGGTACAGCTAATGGGTAACCCTAACAAATACACAAATATTGTGATAGAATTAATTCATGAATTGAGTTGCATGATGTTCACTTTGGTATTATACAGCAAACCTAAACATGCAAAACTGTTTGAACAGGAACCTGTCATGATGATGCCTTTCTTAACGTTTCCTGACTGATAAGTGACAAGAACAAGAACATATGTGTGTGTATGTGTGTGTGTGTGTGTGTGTGTGTTTGCCTGCGTGTGTGTGTGTGTGTGAGAGAGAGAGAGAGAGAGAGAGAGAGGGGGTTAGACTCACAAGTTCAAGCCCTATAATCTAACCACAAATAATCTACTCCCACACAAGTAGTTTAAATACCATTTAAATGTAACATTGTGGTGTTCTTTGGAGGTCTGTTTTCAGAATGCACAATTTTTCCCATGATGCACGTAAAAGCAGGTAACTACAAAGACAGCATCTTAAATTATTTTTCTTTAAAGTGCTCATTTGAAAGTCTCTCAAGGTAACCGCATGAAACTATATCTGATTATGACCTCAACAAACTTCAAAACAGCTTCTTTCTAAACCCTCAGTTCTACAAGACGTCGTAAATGGACTATATTTAGACAGTTACATGTTCAAAGTACGGCAGAATTGAAGAATATAATGTCACTATATATGATTTGAATTATAAGTACACACGTCATAGGATTTTTGCAGAATTTGAAGAATTTACAAGTTTTTTGTTAAATTTCTTTTAACTAAAATGTATTTAATTTAGCAGCTTTAAATGAACTAATGACTAAAACATTTTCAGGATCACCATCCTTAATTCAAAGAGCATTTTACACTTACCCAGACATCCAAAAAAGTCAAGCATCAGACAAGACGACTGCAGATGCTGGGGCTAGAAGCAGTGGCATGAACCTTTGCCTCAGTTGCTTGCCTTTCATTTATTGTGTGTTAGTTTGTGATGCAAGAAACTAAAACACACCCACAGAGAGGAATCAACTTGGCTTACTTCCCCTTTTTCTTCCTGCTCATTTTCATATCAGCCCTCTGGAAAGTTTTGGTGATAAGTAGAAGCGAGCTAAACTTTAACAAAACACCCCATCTGTTTCCCGCATGTGCTATTACTCTTATTTAAAAAGATTCATTATTTTATACTTTGAAGCTGATTCGATTTGTGAAGAACAAAGATAAACAAACCTCTTCATACACTCAAATGTATTTCAAAATACTTTATTAAATACTAAATACTTTATTTTTTTTCCTGCACAGGTTTAATTCTATAACCCTGTTGATGCATGAAATAGTTAATCTCTGGTATCTGGTTTATTTGTAGTGGTTGTCCTCCTGACTCGTACCACCGCTAGGGGGCAGTCTGGGCAGCTGCTCCACCGCTGAGGCCTACATTAAGGAGTGCTTCCGGACTCCACCTTCCTCTTTTCCTCGGCATCGGGGCGCAGCCATGGTAAGAAAATATTACACGGACACACTTTACAGAATCTAACTCAATCTTGCCGATTAAAGAATGAATATTGTGTATTGCTGAATCAGATATGTTAAGGAAGTCTTAAACCTTGCAGAGATGATACTATTAACCATCATTTTGTGTGTTTAAGCTGATTAAACTGTCTTTAAATGATACCCGATGTGTTAATGCTGAAATGCTGCTGCTGCTGCTTCCACGCAGTCGGCCTCTGTTTGAAAGATTATCTGTTGAGTGTAGTCATTTAAATGTTTGCGTGATGTTAAATAGCTGCTGCTTCATGTTTTCTATATTTTCCCATAAGAAGATATTTCCTCATTTCTGTTTCTTCACGGTAAAGCTGAAATGCTAACATGTTAGCCTGGTAGCTCACGTACACTCACCATGTTCATGTAGCGACGCTCGCAGTCATAAATAATAAACACAGTGGTCTCGTCATTGTGCGAAATGTTACACACAGCATCAACATAATGCAATGCTACAATAACAGTGTAAAACTTTAAAACCATCATGGCCTGGAAGTTAGTTGCAACTAGTTTATTGACCATCTTTTGATGAGCTTTAATGGTCATTCACAAGGTTAAAAAGTGGTGGTTGCTTATGAAATATTTTAAGTGTTTTCAATGCTTTACTTCTTTCTTGTCCAGGTGAACGTCCCGAAGACCCGCAGGACGTACTGCAAGAAGTGCAAGAAGCATCAACCTCACAAAGTTACCCAGTACAAGAAGGGAAAGGACTCCCTCTATGCACAGGGTAAATGTTTTTTTTATTTTTTTGGTTGTTATGTGTTCAATGTGTTGTGAAGATGGAGTTAAATTATGTGTTTGTTGTGCAGGTAAGAGGAGATACGACAGAAAGCAGAGCGGGTATGGTGGTCAGACAAAGCCCATTTTCAGGAAGAAGGTATGACCTGCTCTTTTATTGCTGATCCATAAGGTCAAATCATGCCACAGTATGTTTGTTTGTTTGTCTGACTTGATGCTGTTTCATCTCCTCAGGCTAAGACTACAAAGAAGATCGTGCTGAGGCTTGAGTGTGTGGAGCCCAACTGTAGATCCAAGAGAATGATGCCCATCAAGAGATGCAAGCACTTCGAGTTGGGTGGTGACAAGAAGAGAAAGGTAGGCATTAGTGATGTCATTTTGTGCGTTACCTCGGTGTACTGTGTTCATGGAGCGTGTTGATGCTTCTGTAAAGTTTTCTGAGGTCCAGTCTTGTAGGAAGGCTGAATAATGTCTTCCCCAAAATCTGTGTAATCGACTTTGAACTTCACCAGTGAGTGCTGTCGGTTGAATTCCCAGACGCTTAATAATATATAATCCTATAATAACGTCAAAGTCCTGCTTGTATCCACTCTGCTTGTGTTTTAATGCTTTCGCTGCTGAGAAAAGAACCAGAAATTTTAATTCCGGTAGTTAGATTTTGACTCTTAAAATTAGTGAAATGTAGAATAAACTAACAAGTGGGATGTTCAATTATTATATAAACCATGGGCATAATAATACAAAAGTAATTATTCTCCAAACCTTAATGATTAGTTTACAGGGATGATACAAATGTGCTGCTAAAAAAAAGTTTGAGTGATGTTTATACATCAAAAAACGTGAAAGATAATGAATCAGATGTTGCTGGAAATGTCCATGATGAATTAGGACATTTTTATTTATGTTGTGTTATGGAATATTTAATTCTAAAGGGACAGTGTCTGTTTGGTAAAGGTGATAATAGGGGGGGGGGCCAGGCAAAATCTAAATGTTAGTGATTTTCAGTGGACTGCTATAAACTGGTTCACATAACTCATGTCTCATGCACTCATGGATGAAAAACAGTGAAACAACAAATTCAAGTGCAAATAAAATGTGTTTATCATTCCCCTAATAATTTACCAGCCTTTTTTTGTATTGCAAGCAACGATAAGGTTTTACTTTATACAAACCTTGTGTCTGTTCTTGTAGTTATGACTTTGAGTTAATATTTAAACCTATTTATAGCCATTAAACCGGTCTAAATGACCAGCTATATAGTCGTATAAAGAACCAGTTACAGATTATATTGAGTTTTGCGGCACAACCAGGATTCTTGTAGCATTAATACTAACAAAGTCAAAAACAGAAAGTCAAACCTGCTTTTCACAAGGCTGATTTGACAATGTGTATAGCGCATGCTTTTATTTGTTTAATCAGTTACAGCATTTATTCCTCTCTGCCCATTCAGCAGTGCAGGTTTATTCTGGTTATAAAAAATGGAGTACAGTGGAAAAAAACAAGAACATATATTATTTAAAAAAGTATTTATTTAAATACACCTCAGCATAATTATTCTCAGTCATGAATTCATTTCCAGTAGCATTTAGAAAAGCCATTTATCATTGAGTTAAACAAGTATAACTCTTACCTGTGCATCCTTTTAACCACATATTTGTTTTTCTTGTCCTACAGGGCCAGGTCATCCAGTTCTAAACTGCTCAGTTTTCTGGAGGAAGTTTCATTATTTCCAATAAATGTATCAAAACACACTTTGGAGTTCAGCCCTTCTTTTCCCACATTTTACAAACTGTAGGATGTGATGCATATCAATTGAAGCATTTTTAGTCTATCTGCATTTATTCACAGCATGAGTGCAAAACACTGTAAGTAGTTCATGATAACCAAGACAGGATGTGTTCTGTAATCACCATGGTAACAACCTGATTGAAGCAGTTTCTGTGGTCAATCAAATAGTTTCCCTTTTTCTTTTAAATCAAGAAATATTGTTGTAAAAGAAGCCCAACTTTGACTTTCAAAATGGACTCATTTCAGAAATGGCATGTTGTGTTTGACTGGTGTGTCCTGCCAGTGCAGCTTGTGAGAGCCTGTTAGCACTCTGTTGATGGGAGTGACAGTCAGTAGAGCGGTCCCTGAAGGGTTGACGGATACAACCACTTTGCTATTTAGGGTCTGAACACCTATCTCCTTGAACTGAGGCAGGATCTGTGTGACATTACACTGAGGGCTGCAGATCTTCCAGCCAGGAGCCACACTGATGGAAAACCCTCTTGGACCCCCGATCTCCTGTTTGTTCAGCACAGCGATAGCCAGTTGGTTCTTATACAGAGGCCTCTCCCACACTTCAAAGCTATCCACCTGTGGAAAGAGTCGCATTACTTTCATAGAGATTAGTTGTAAAAAAAAAAAAAAAAAAACTTCAGACTGCTTATTGTTGAACATAAAACATGTAAAGAACTTCAGGAAGGTGACCTTGCTCTGTAACACCCACCTTGGCAGTGCGGTATCCCTGTCTGCCTAGTGGATCCTGGCTGATGGCTATGATGCGTCTGTTCTGCAGCAGGTCCTTGGAGCGAGGACAGATGTCCCTCAGATCATTAGACATGAGTAGAGGGGCTGCCATGATGGCCCATAATGCCATCTGAGACTCCTGCTGGTCATGACTCAGGCCAAAGTTCCCAATCACGAGCTAGAAAGATGGAGCAGTGTGGACCGTGTAAATAGCAGAGCAATTTGTCTGACTGACAGGATGTGGTGCATCATTAAACTTTGCTGTTAAAACCTTAATGTGACTGAATAATGTGTCAGTTTCACTCTGGCATTTCATTTCATAGAGATAAAAGATGAATCTCTCCCAAAGCAAGTTTTAAAAGATTTATTAATTATTGTGATAAGTATCCTGTTTTTTTTAAGTGATATGAAAAGATCCAAACCTGACATACACTATCCACTTGTTTTATGTATTGTTAACATGAATCTACAACAAGCAGCTTGTTACTTTAGCTCAGAAACAGACAATGGAAGCCCAGCTCTGTGAAAAGTGGACAGTCACACATTTTGTCAACCTGATCTTCTAAAAGTCACTTCATTACTTTTAATGTCACCTTGGTCTAATTTTTGAGTTGTGGTTTTACAGGGGATCAAATCCAAACATTATATGTGGAGACACATTCATTTTACAGAGCCAGGCAAGGTGTTTTTTTTTTGGCAGTCTCCATGATAATCTTATTCTGCAAACTACCAACTAAACCATACAGAGACTTAACGTAGCTGTGTCAATCTTTTCATCTGCCTCACAGCAGGTAAGCAAAAATGTTAATCTCCCCAAAAAGTCACTATTCATTTGCAGTAATTAAATATTTTTTAACAAATGAATACAGCTTGTTACTTGTGGACCCTGATTTCTCTGCTTAGTTTTTGAGGTCAAACAGAAATATAGAGCAGTGTACCATATCAGGGTCGTTCCAGCCCCCAGGTCCGGCCGAGGGGCCAATGATGTCTTGATGAGAAGCAGTCCAGTCCAAGATGGACTTGACCGAGTTCCACGAGTCGTACACGTCAGCATAATTACGCCAGTGGTTACACGTCTCGCGGATGGCTGTGTAGTTGGGCTGTAGGCACAGACAAGTTTTTCTGAATGCAGTACAGGCTACAACACATGAGTTGATAAACATTAATAATTATTCTTTAAAGCTGTTTTTACTGTCGGTTCAGTAGATGGAGTCTTGAAAATGAAATATGAGTAATGACTGTTAAGTTGTTGTAGAGCTACATCTACAGATTGTGTTCCTACTGATACCAAAACATTTCAATCGAGTATTCTTAATGTACAAAATAGTGAACATTTTCTTTTATGTCTTTCAACATTATTATGACAAGGAGGAATAACATCCCATTGTCAAACAATTGTATTTGTTTAAACTAACTCCAACCATTGATGAATAATCAAAACAGTTGCATATAAATTGTAAGTAAAAAAGTTAATTAATGAATCGACCTATTTTTTTGCAGCTCTAACTATAAACGCATTTATAAAAATATAATAATACATGCATCCGTCTCACCTGTCTGAATTGCCACTCATACAAAGGCCACTCACAGGAGTACAGGATGCTTGCTCCAGTTTGGTTCAGTGCTTTTGACATGTTCACGTAACCTGAACAAAAACAGAATAACGAAACTGTTGGATAAAAATGGATATCAACTCCAAGGAGGCTCTGAATGAAAAGAGAAAATTTAACAAGAATACTATTGAAACTAATTGTAAATGTTAAGATAATGTGTTTCTATCATATTTTCATTTTGCATATCATAAACATAATCTGAGATTATTGTTAAAGGATTAGTACATAGCAGGACAAGCATTGCAATGATTCATGTAAATCATAGTTTGGATTGAAAAATGTCACCTTCTCCCAGAAGTTTCCAGTCCATGTTACAGCCGTCAAACTTGAGCAGATCCACACCCCAGTCAGCAAACGTCTGTGCATCTGTCTCGTAGTAACCCAGACTGCCTGGGTATCCAGCACAGGTGTTTTTCCCCACATCTGCATAAATGCCCAGCTTAAGTCCCTTAGAATGAACCTTAAAACAGAAATACATTCATGAAGTTTCTTTACAAAGTGCAACCTGCAGTTCTATTTTGGACAGGTTATGACAAAAAAAAAAACAGTAGGTGGCGATGTTGCACAACTTAAAAAAAGATGTTTCTTCTACAGGACATCGCTCTACCTATGTAGGGTTGAATATAACCAAGTTTTTTGGTGACAGCATTTTTGAGTTCCCTGTCACAGGGGTCTGCACATTAAGAGATCTCCTCTCCATTGTGTCTGTAGCAGGGACTCAGGGTGTCCTCCTACCTAATCAAGACAATGTATGCCCACATACTGCTTCTCCCTGATCTCCAGGTGCTGACTTTTTACTGGTGTGAAATCTGAGACTTGGTTTTCACATCTGGTCTTCGTCCCCCCTTCATTATGTAAATCATTTCAGGTCTGCCTGGATGGAAGTATAATGAATATGTAATGTGACTGTGTAATCACTTTTCCTTGAGAGTTATTAAACCAGGGATTTCTAAAACTCCTCATTCGACAAAGATTTCAGAACTTAGACGCATTGCACCACTGCCTCGCAAAAAACTAGAACCGCATCTGTGGGAATATGTGTTCAATCTGACATGGTCTAAATAATTGTGTATCCTATTCAACTGAGACTGAAAACGAAAAAAACAAACCCAGCCGTATTCAAGTGTGAACTCTCCCTCTATCTACCTCTAGCTAGTACAAAACCTCAAATGCAAGTGTTTCTAACTTTCCTTAAGTCTATCTGAACTCCTCTCTCTTTGACGTCTATGGAGGCATTATGTCATTCAATTATACATTCAAAGCCCGTCTCTCCTTTTATACCTGATACTCACATAGTCAGCCAGTTTCTTAATGCCGCCCGGGAATCTTTTGGGGTCTGCCTGCAGGCGGCCCTTGGCATCGCGCTGGTGGGAGGGCCAGCAGTCATCGATGCACACGTACTCGTAACCGGCCTCCTTCCAGCCCTCCTTCACCATCACGTCTGCCATCTGCATGTACAGACTCTCACTGCAAGAGGGGCGACAAGAGGCGGCAGGCAAAGCCCACAGTACCACTTAGATGTCATGAGCAGGAGCAGTAAGGCGGGCACAACTTTGAAATTAAAGCAAATTACTGTGGTAGGCCCACTGAAGGCCAGAAGCTTTCAACTTTGTTTTCAATACTTTAGTGGCTACCTCTGGTTCCACAGAGGGCAGGACTCCCAAGAGACACGTTTTTTGAAAGTAGCCTAGTATAAGAGATTGTACACATTTTATCATTATTATGTTCATTTTGGAACACACACGTTATGAACGAGATGTTTTGGGAGGAGGAGGAGTTGACGTATTTCTTAAAGAAGTAGGCTACAACAGTCACATTGCTTTTACTTTTGTTTTATTATGTTTGTGTTCACCAACATGTCAGACCCTGATCCTGCTGAATCATCTCCGCCTGACAGCTCTGACGTCTCTTACCTGATGCAGTTATTGGGGTCCTTGTCACAGTCGATATTACACATGAACCGCTCCCAGTGCAGCCAGCCCATTGTGGGTTTTAGTGCCAGTCCATTGTCCAGCGCATCTGCAGCAAGAGGGATCAACACCAGGAGCGAGAGGAGGACCACGGGCTCGTACATTTTTTCAACCCAGCACTCGACACTTAACAGCACAGACAATAACAATACAAGCCTGTGCAATTTATAACCTATTTCCTCGTGCGGAGCGTCTTCAGCCCGCCCCTCCAGACGACAGACGCCAATTTTGACCAATAATATCGAAATGCGCCTGTAACCGTCCAATGGCATTCAGGGCAGACATCCGTGTTGCGAATAAGGAAGAGCCGAGGTATCGTTTCAGGTTTGAGTAGATGAAAGGATGTCACTTGACACAATGTGACAGGGTTATTTTATTCTGTTCCTTAACACACACACACTCAAAAAGTATGATGTTCCAAAGTAGGCTTTATTTAAAGATTTAAAGATTATTTATTAAGTGCTAGAAAATAGCCTATCGGATCTCAAAGACCAAACACAAAAAAATAAAATTAGTTTAGAGGGGAAACACATTTGATATAAATACAAAACAACAAAAGTTATGTCTGTAAATAGTCATTTCCAATCAGAATTTATAGAATTTTACAATACAAATCTGTCTGTTTTTTTCTCATACTCTGTGACAGAAATCTCCACTTCAGTAGCACATCCAGTTTTATTCCTATCTATATTCTGGAGGTATTTACAGAGGGGTTTGTTCATTTATCATTCACAGTCTGATTTATATAACAGTGTATTCATAAAAACATGGCGAAAATGTTTTAAGTCTGTTGATAGTATTTCTGATTTATGGAGTGATACAAAGAGATATCCACAATCCCCTCTGTAAATGCCTGTGTCTTTAATATGTCAACAAAATGAACAAATAATCTTGAACCTGGGTTTATCCAATGTTCAGATTTCTTAGCTGGAAATGTATGCAAGTCAGCACACCAGCCTTGTATAATATAAATGTCTTCATACAGTATATTGTTGTATTCTTTTTTAAAGGGATACTTCACCTGTTGAAACATGACTCTGTATTGACATTGGGTCAGTAGAAATGTAAAATACATTTTGAAGTTGGTGCCTTCTTGGCCGAGAAAAGGCAGAAAGTGTATTTTTGGAAATTGTCCCAGAATGCATAGCACCGCAGGCCACTCCCACTAAGGTCCTCGATTTCAGAATCAGAATCAGAAATACTTTATTAATCCCAGAGGGAAATTCGATCATTACAGTTTCTCCAAAATATACAATATAGCAGTAGAAATATAATAATAAAAACATTTACAAACGTATTTACTTCAACACATACGGCCATTTCCTCAACAGATTCCGAGATTTCTCCCAGAATTGATCTTGGAAATTCCTGGCAGAAAACAGACTCTGTGGCTGTGTCCGAAATCACTCCCTATCTACTATATAGTGCGCTATATAGTGGACACGCCATTTTGTAGTACTGTCCGAATTCAGAGTGAGCATGGTCATACCCTATATAGTCCACTAAATGTATCCCACAAAGCATTTTGAAAAGTAATGTATGAGCGATGGTCACTATTTGAGCAATATATACCATCATGCATTGCGGTTCAAAAGATTTTTACGAGCGGAGAGAGGTGTTTGACTCGGCTGCTGTCAAACGGACGAGAGGAGCGACCAGCATGAACACAGAAACTCAATAGAGTTCATATTCAGAGCGTTTTACTGAAATCTATGATCCGTTTTAATAAAGATTAAAAGATTGTCAACTTTAGTGATGCTAGTTTGTCCTAATGATGATGACAGACGAGAAACCAGAGTCTGTGAGCATAAATAATTTAGTTTTTCCGAAAATATGTCTCATTATGTAAAATTCAATATTTTATAAGTATTTATTATTTGTAAACGTTTCGTGAAAATACACTCAGTATAATATGAGTTATCACGGAAATTCATGTTGTTATTGATCCTCGGCCGTTTGTTAAGCTGAACGTTTCAGTTGCGCGACAACAATGACGTCACTGTCAGCGACAGTGAGTGAGCGCGTAGTGGACAAAATGTTTTTTAATTTTGCTGAGTGAGTGCACTATATAGTCCACTGCATAAAACTCACTATATAGTGAATAGGGAGTAGCCTATGTCTGTGTCCATAGGCAAACAGTGAGAGCACCGACACTACCAGTCCGCCCCAGCTCGAGCCGGCCCGGGCTCCTCATCGGCCAGCAATATAGCAATATAGCCGCGAGATGGTTGCTGCGGACAGGCAGCCAGCGCTACCGGCCCCCGGCGGCTAGCGGTGGCTAGCGGTGGCCAGCGACAGCCGGTGGCCAGCGGCCGCAGCAGCCAAAGCACAAGACTGGCCTGTTGGCAGCAGCCGTCTCGCCGCTATATTTATATTTTTTTGCCATTATCAGCTTTCTCCATAGAGCCTGTTAGCATAGCTTCCAAGCAATATGGCGGATGTTAAGTTTCGATTCTGGGCGTGAGTTCCCACCCACTGATCTGTGATTGGTCTGTAGCTTCAGTGGTCGAAAATATGAGGAACTAGCTATGTAGTTTCACACCGCTAACCGCAACAGATTTCAGTGACGCAATATGACGATATTTGCGTCACTGGAAGCTCCTTTTCAGAACTTTCCAGTCTCAGGGGAAAATGAGGGCTGGATGCACAACCATTCAAAAATACGACCAGTTTACTGCTGATACAATGCTTAATGCAAATGGGTGAAGTATCCCTTTAAGGATTTTAAGTTTTTTATAGAGGTGAACAAGTATCTGGAATCCAAAGTAAGGTTTGGATTTGATTTATTCACCGAAAAACTGGCAAAAAGCCTCCAACAAAAAATAAGAATGATAGAAAATTGCCCAATTTAGCTCAATGTTCCCTGAGGAGCCTGGCTAGTCAAAAATGCCAAACACACACTCACACACACACACACACACACACACCCACACCCACACCCACCCACACACACACACACCCACACACACGCACACACACACACACACACACACACACACACACACACACACCCAATTGCCAATAATGTAGCTGTATTAACATTTCCTCAAAGCTTCAAGCTGTTTATTAGCTGCAGATTTAAGACACTAATTTGTCTGGCGCAGACAATAAATGAATCACAAATAGGTTTTATAAGTCAGCTGTAAGCGGACACCCTGCTACAGAAACAAATTAATCGTTGATATTTTTCCTAAGAGATGTTCTCACATGCAGAGAGAGTGATGAGCTTTGCATTTATTGCAATATTCTGCCATTTTGTTGAAATTTAAAGAGGCCACTAGAAATTGTTCATTTGAAGGTCAGTGTTTTAAAGAGTTTGAATGGAAGCACAAAAGATTTAAAACTTTACATTGGTGACTTTATTTGATATAGTTCCTCTGTCATATTGAGAAGAGTCAAAACAAATCAGGCAGCATTCATGAATTGGCACAACCCCAGATTATAACAACAATCCTCATCCCAACTGCTGGCTGTATGTAAAAAGGGAGCATAAATGAACACAAAACCTGACCTTTCACAAAAATGTCAAGGGTGCCCATTTCAACCCTAAACATTATCAGAGGCTTCACCAAGGGACAGGCCTGATACAAACAATTTGTCACTTGCTATAGTTCATATCAGTGCCAGTGTACAAAGGCGCCAAGGCTTTAAATGTCAGATTTCAATTTGACTCACCCCCCCTGCTGATGGATGGTCCAATCCGACTCCCTTGAATACATAGTTTTCTCTTTGTAAAAATGGGATCTTGACCATCGTTGTGATAGACACACTTGTTGTTGCTGCATGAAAGCGCAGTGCGCCTGTTTGTGTACAGTGGTTAATTGAGATCGTTGACAGATGGGCAATCCATGCTTTCTGTCTGGGTTATGGCTCCCCAGAGCTTTGACACCAATCCATCATGTCCCTTTCTTCACACAGTGTCACATAATTGAAGAGGCTGTCATGGTTGAATTATGTCGGCAACTTTGTTATGAAGTGTGCGGGGATAAAATGAAAGCAGTGTTGTTGTGCGCCTCCTTGCCAAGGAGTCTTATTATTGTATTGATCTATGGGGACAGGTGGCTGCAAGAGCAAATGTCATCAAAAAGTTGTCACTCCATAAATACAACTGATGTTATAGAGCTCACATAGCCACAGTGGAAAATCATTTATTGTCTTGTAATTAGCTGCTTTAAGTTGTTAATGCGATTGTCACAGGACAAGGAGGCTACATGTGCTAATGTTGTTACATTAATGAGGTCTTTGTTGCGCTGAGAAATCGCTTTAGGTTATAAGCATATAATATGACCTAAATTGAGCTTTGTTAAGGGATTATATCTTTTTTTTTCATCCCCTTTCATTTAAAGTTATGAGTTCCTGAACCTTCTCGCTGCCAGGCAATAATGTTGTACATCAGGTAGTTTATTAAACATTTCCATGTTGTTCCCATGTCATGAGCTCATATTGAAAGACTTGTGACTGTATAAATAATAATTGAGGTACTTAAGATAAACAGTGATAATTAACAAGCTAACAATCCAGGTATGGTTTGCACAGATACCAATACCTGCTAACTAGTGCTAACATATAAATAGCATATAGTACCAGATATTTTGGACTGGACAGACTGATACAACAAACCGCAAAGCAGGGCACACTTTTTGTGCTCTATATTTCCCTTATTAAAATGCTTCAACAGTACATGCAAACAGAGTTTTAGACCAGTCACAGGAATAAACCCTGTTGATGTCGATCAGACTGCTTCTTGTTACACAAAGTGACCAACCCCTGTTAATCGTGCATCATTTCATGCTCGAATAACATTAAAATGGATGGCGTTTAAGAATTCACTTCCCCAACAGTTGCATGAATAGACAATTAGCTATCAAGTGCCTTTTACTCTCTTTTTTGTTAACCAGGCTGCAAGCATGTTTCATTTTGCTTTAAGGTTGGGCATTATAATATCAGCCTTAAAGGGGATTGACTCACCTTTGAAATCAGCCTCAAGTGGCCAGTCGTAGGACTGCAATTTTGAACACTGCCCCATTCCCAAACCCGGAGGTTTTTGTTTCATAACTTAATACATTCAATAAATAAAACTTTAAATTTGACCAGCATCTGAACGCTTGACTCCTATATTTTGGTAGTCATTCGTTTAAACGTCTTCAAATTGTATTTAAAATGTCAAAAAACCATGAAGTTATTATGCATGAATCATTTCTTGCGGTGC